ATATATTGTACAAATATCTAAATTTGATAGGGAAAACAATAAATTCACAGCGTTAATTCTTTTTCTTAGTCGTAGTGGCTCACCCAGTCTTATGCGACAAAAAAAAGGTCAGTTTCAACCACTGGTTAGCACAAGCAGTGAACTTGATTCCAGCGATAATGAAGAGATTGTTGTGGATGATGACAGGCCAACATCAAGACCAGGATCACTTAAGTTAAAATTATCATGTAAGTCGGATGAGTGAGCTCACATTGAAACATTGAATTATACTGCAAGTTATAGTTTTCCTATTATTTTTGCCAGATCACGTTGAATTGTTCTTTTCAGCTGTAGTATTGTTTTTATTATAGTTAATGGAAAAGACACTACCACTACTCAGGAGAGTTCTCAAGAGAATTATACAACAACACAGAGTGAACCCTCTGACTCTGGAGATGATTTGATGCCTTCAGATAGAGGACCACCACCTCCTTATCCAGGTGTTATTGTTGTGCCTAATAAAGTTGGTAGTATAGATGACCTGTTACAAGCAAGTCAATACGAGTTGCCTTCTGCTCCGCCAGCCAATTTCACTATAGCCGAAATTGAGGAAGAACTCAAGTAAGTGACACTCTGTCAGTGCATGCCCTGTAATGTTTTATTAACAGTATGTCCTACAGTCAGTCAGTCCAACAATATGTTGCAGTCCTTTTGTATGATAAAAAGATGGTAACATATTAATTTATACATAGGTTACAATTTTAATAAATACGCATGTTTTGCTGTAGGAATCAACCAGCATCGCCCAGTACTCATGATGCTATACAGGGTATGTTATCTATGAGTTTACCGAAAACAGTGCCTGATTCTAGCAGCCCAGTGCCACATTCCACAGCATTATCTTCATTTATGAATATCCCACCATCCAAACCAAAGAGAATATATGCAGATTTAGAGGATAGTCCAGATAGTCTTCCAACTTGTTTTCAAGATTCTAAATATGGTAAGAGTTAGTTTTTACTATGATCTAGCATCGCAATGTTGTACTTCATTGTTCAGCTTCCAGGAATGAAACAATGTGGTGATTATGAATGAAATGAAAAACATAGTCAACAAATGTTGTGTTCAAATATTACTGTAAAACATGTCTTTTTCGCGAGCATGTCTTTTTAGCAAATTTAGCGAGAGAACTGATTCGCTAATTCAAGATGTCGCTAATGACTTTCTTATAAATTCAAAATGGCCAAGGCTAGAGGATTTGTATACATAAAAATCTGGGGCGCTTCCTAATTACACTTGACAGTTTTTGACTCCCATGTGCGAAGCACAAAATGGGAGTCTTTGCAGTTAGTGTGTCTGTCTGTATGTGTGTGTGTGTGTGTATGTGTGTATGTGTGTCCGACTGTTCCACTGCTATCTCAAGAACCATACATCGGTTTTTGATGAAACTTGGTGCATAGATGCTCTGGGCCAATGCGCAGATTTGATTAGGTTTTGGTAAAAATCTATGCTCGTTAATTACCTAATTTGCATGATAATTAGCTATTTTTTAGCTGTTCTATGACTGTTCCACTGATATCTAAAGAACCACTCATTGGATTTTGATGAAACTTGGTACATAGATGCTCTGAACTAATGCGCAAGATTTGA